AAACGTATACATGTTACAATTTCCCAATCAATCTCTTTTCGAAATCTCCATCTCATTAACTTTCCGATCAACTTTCAATTTTCATTCTCCCAAGGGAGAAGCTTATCCTCTCAGCTTCTTCACTCAGATCGATTTTCGAACGCCGCCCTCGTAAACGTCCCTCTGTGTGCCCTCGCTCAATAGCCGGGTTAATACCGTCATTAACCGAGGCGAGATGACTGAATCGACGATACACAAGCGATCACCTAGGCCCGAGATCTAATTCCTCCGCGCGTTGTGCTCGTCGATCGATCCGAGAGGCAGGTTGTTCTGGCCATTGTATCGGTAAAGGGTTCGACGAGGTTTTGCCCGGGGTGTCGCCGAGGTTTAAACGGTTTTGGGGATTAGGCGGGGACCGGAAGTGGCGTGATTGCGCCCAGTTCCACGACGCTTATTGTTTGCATTGTACCGACTCCGAGGCGATTTTTCGACGATCTCGACGAACAGGTTCGAGGATTCGTACTTTGAAGATTGGTACTTTGGAACCGGGAGTGATGGTGGCGACGAGGATATTTTAAGGAGATTGGTCGGTTATTAGATTCGGCATGGTTTATTGAATTCTGTCGCGAGGGATGCGGAGTTAGGGAGCGGCTGAAACGTGTTCGTTTCCTCGCGTGGTTTTCGACAGTTTTGGGAATTACAGTTTCGGTGGATTTATGGAAGTTCTCTTCCTTCTCTTCGAGATAAGGAGATAGGAGGATTTCAGATAAAAGGGAACAGAAAGAAAAGAGCCGTGTAACATGCATTGAATGTGTGAGCAATTTTGAGGCAGATATTAAATGTCAGTTTTAGTAAATAGTAAATAGTAAATATTAAATATCGAGTGTTTGGTAAATGTTAAATATTTGATAGAGTTTTTTAATAACATTTGATAATAATTGGATATTCTTTTATTAAATAGGTGTTAAATATTTTAACGATTAAACGTATCCGCCAAATATTTGATAGTCGGATATTTGTTAAAATATTTATTAAGAGAAAATATTTAATATTTATTAAAATTAAAATGCATATATATGTATATATGTAAAGTATTTGGAATGTAGTATTTATTAGAAATTTTATTAATTAAGTATTTATAATATTTAATAGAAGAGAATGGAAATGTTAATTTTTTAACAGAGAAGAACAGAGAGAACTATATAAAAATATCCGAAATAAACAAAATAATTTAATCTGAATAAATATATAATAATATAAAATACGTCAAATAATTAGTAATAGTAACTTAATATAAAAATAAAATATTTTATTATATAACAATGAAATAACAGAGGCAATTTGAACGATATTTTCTTTCAATATCGCATTTCTTCGATTATAATTTCTTTTAATTAAAACGTATCACGATAATTGTATCGTATTTCCAATACTGCTCATTGTTTCACGGTTGATTAAAAATTTTACATTTCAATTCGTTCGAAATTTTTCCGTTCATCGAGCCAGAGAATTTATTAATACTCTTTCGAGATTATAACGAGTATTTTAATATATGAAAAGAAGTGATTGACTCTCGCGTAATTTTTGAAAATTAAAAAATGTTCGATGTCTTCAGCATCGTGTTACACTGTGACACGTGTTAAAAAATTTTCATGTTTTAATTACTCGTTCAAAATTTACGCTTTTCTATTTTATAGTAAATACTGTTATTTATTTTGTAACAGCATTCTACAATAAATGTAGTAAACAGTATTAATATAAATTATTAATATATTAATATAAAAATTCGTGTCTTTTAATAATTTATTTGTATTATTTTATTATCATACTACATATTAATTAACTGTTTTATCATACTAGATATTTAATAGATATTCAATTTTTAGTAGATATTGAATTTTTAACAAATTTAATTTTTAATACATATTTAATTTTTAATAAATTTAATTTTTAATAGATATTTAATTTTTAATAAATTTAATTTTTAATAGATATTTAATTTTTAATAAATTTAATTTTTAATAGATATTTAATTTTTAATAAATTTAATTTTTAATAGATATTTAATTTTTAATAAATTTAATTTTTAATAGATATTTAATTTTTAATAAATTTAATTTTTAATAGATATTTAATTTTTAATAAATATTTAATTTTTAATAAATTTAATTTTTAGATATTTAATTTTTAATAAAAAAATAAGTCATTTTATTATACTAGGCATTACATCTGTTTCATACACTTAAGAAAATAAAACCTTATAGAAAATTATTATTCTACCCACTAAAACTTATAAAAAGTATTACAAATGTTTTGAAGATGATGAAGTGTCATAAATATGATATTTTATATATATATTTCTATATATATAATTTACATATACTCATAATAATAATTTACATAATAATTTATACACAGTTTGTATGTAATCATTATATATATATTTTCAATTTGTTTGCAATGTCGCAAAATTTTTCATAAATTTTCCATAAATTCGCTCTCCAGATAATACCTATCACAAGGTACTATATATTAATGAGCTTGGTTAAGGAAAATCTTTAATTTCCGCGTTCTACATTTTCGTTTGAATATGTTTAATTCACCTTCTACTTCTTCTTAATGAAAATAATATTTGCAGTGCATAAGTCAAATTGATGAATTTTAATAGAACGAAAAGGTCTTGCTTTTCATTTCTCGTCTCTTATTTAAAAAAAAAAAAAAAATTTACTCTCTCAAGATTGGATAGATTCAAAGTTAACTCTGCTAAGAAACTTTAGCAGACTTTAGTGGATTTTACGGATTAATCGAGTTGCTCAAATACTTTATCAAAGTTCGCAACTTGATGATGTTTGTTCCCGCGATCATTAACAACCGTAACTCTGTTCTTGGAAATAAAAATTCTACGAAAATGCAATTGTTTTATTTTATTCGGAATTTTTCGATAGCTTTCGAATTTGTTTCTAATTTTCAATTTCCCGAAGCTTTAATCACCGAACTTTTCGAAGATTAAATTTAATATTTAGCTCGATTTTGTTCGAGTTTTACATCATGAATTCGATGGGTGAAGAGTTCAATTTATTCTTGCTGTTCAAACTTTGTTTTCCTCTAAACGAATCGCAGTTGTTTGCTAAATAATTGTTTGACAAAAAATTTTGGACATGCAGATAACATTTTTATTTTAGTCTTTTTTCTTCTTTCTATCGAAAGATTTTGTTTTTGATTTAATGGCAAAAATTGTATGAATGACAGAAAATGTATGAATCCTCTTTAAATTAAATACTTTTGACGAGCTTATAATTTTATGATTAGCAATGCAAATAATTTATTACATATTTAAGTTTTGAGAGAAATCCGCGAAATATTTTACACATTTCGTGGAATATGAAAATTATGTTTCGTGAAACGTGATCAATTGATGAGGTATTCCTGCATTCCTGATGCCTTACTCATCCTTCGAATATAAAATCTGATTACTCAGCAATGCATGTGTATCAGTTTGTACTTGTTTCCTTTGCGATTAACATTATTCCAGATGGAACAGACTTGCAAACCGAAATTGACAAAGCTTGAATTGTTTTTTAAAACATACAAGTGTGTATAATACATATACACAAATATTATATAAAATATAATTATATTTATACAGATATTGTATACATATTTTAATATAAATAAGTTTTAATGCACAAACTTAGTTTTACATGTAATAATTATCTTTACATATTTAATTTTCACATAATTATTCATATTTTTTACATAATTATACATACTTTTACATAATTATTTTTACATAATTATTTTTACATAATTATACATATATTTTACATAATTATTTTTACATAATTATACATATTCTTTACATAATTATTTTTACATAATTATACATATTTTTTACATAATTATACATAATTTTTACATAATTATTGTTACATAATTTTTACATAATTATTGTTACATAATTATACATATTTTTTACGTAATTATTTTTACATAATTATACATATTTTTTACTTAATTATTTTTACATAATTACACATATTTTTTACATAATTATACATATAATAATTATTTTTATATATGTTTTCTATTCTTCAGTAAAAAGTCTATTTTAATTTTAAAATAGTTCCATTTTAATTTTCATACAGAAAATTTTATACTTTCGTTATATACGAATAATTTCTATAAAATCTTAAGTTACTATTTATTAACAATATTCAAATAATATAGTTTTTGAATTGTACACATATTTTGTACAATATATATTATTTATATAATATAAAAATTGTCGAATCTTAAAATTTTTCAATTTTCAATTTTTAATTGTGTCTTACAATACTTAATTAATATATTATATTAATATTATTCAATTGTATTATATATATATTTATAACATAGCTGTATTAAAAGTATCACATACATGTATACACATGCATATTTATAGTAGAATATAGAATAATATAATAGAATAATATATTATAATAGAATATTATAATTTATAATAGAATAATATAGAATATATAGAATTATTGTAGAATATTATAGAATATTATAGAATATTATAGAATTATTATAGAATATTATAGAATATTATAGAATTATTATAGAATATTATTACAATACTTATAATTATTATAATTATTATAAATATTATTATAATACAATTGTATTACAAGTATTATTAAATACTGTAACACAATTACGAACACACACACACACACACACACACACACACACACACATACATCAACACCTTACAAACTTTTCATCCATCATATAAAGATATATTATTCAATTCCTCCAATTTCAAAACTGAACCAAATATGCCAACGAGTTTTGAACGAGTCCATAAACATTGTCTCAAAAATTGATTGAAAAAAAAAAAGAAAAACAAAAAACAAACGAAAAGTTTCATGAATGGAACACGGTGAAAATGGCGCAGGAGGATGGTGAGGTGGCCATAAATTCTTGGCTACGGTACAGTTTTACGCCAGCTGAATTTATCCGTGTTTTCTGCATTGCAGGCGGTGTCGGAGAGGCTCGAGTTGGCACCCGCTGGAGGAAGATCAGAGCCGCAAGTGAGTACCCACTCGAAAATGCACGCTTCCTTTTCCTTACGAATGCCATCAAGGCCGCGGCGCCACTCGGCGATTCTGCACCGCGACGAAAAATTCACCGTGTGTCGCACACGCGAGATGTCTGAAGTCTCTCCCTCCCATTCAACCTCGTTCTCGCCAATTTCCCAACAGTTGCTTGCCACGCGAAAATGCGTAGTACCTAACTCCACTCAGCGCTGAACCCTTGGAGAGGCCCCTTACTCAAGAGTATCAGAGTGCACAGAGACGATCCTCGCCTGTCGCCAGTCATTTTTGTATCATCGATCTTCACGCTATCGGATTTCACGTTGGCAATCTTTTTTTACATATTGCGTATCAATCTTAATGTTTGTCGGGCTTCGTGGTCTTTATGTTATCAATTTTATGATCAATAATGAAATGCAGAACTTTGTGTTTGCACTGTCGACTGTTGCCAATGCAACGAATCCTTGGATTTGTACCGTGAAAACATGTTTTTACGAAGGAAAAGGATTGCTGATTGAGCTGTTTATTTTGAAAGTAGTCCATTTATCTTTGAATCGAGATATATCGGTGGTTTTTTGATAAATTCGAAAATATTGGTAACTGACTAACATGTGTTAGGTAACATGTGTTTTTTTATTTCAGGGGAATTTTATTTTTTGCAAAGTTGTGCCTTTTTCAGAAAAAGTTATTTCATCAATCTTGAGAGTGATTTAAGTCCATTTTTTTTAACGTGTCATTTTCTAAACAATGTTTGTTATACTAATTAGGCTGGTAAATTATACACCCTTAAAAACATTATACTACTTTTATTCACTATTAAAGAAATATTGGTAACTGATAACACGTGTTGGGTAGTATAATGTTTTTAAAGGTGTATAATTTATCAGCCCAATTAGTAACATAATAAATATTGTTTAGAAAATGATACGTTACAAATCTTAACCACTTTCAAGATTGATGAAATAACTTTTTTAATTTTGAAAAAGGCACAAGTTTGAAAGAAATAAAATTCCCCTGAAATAAAAAAAAGACACATTACAATTTTGTGTTATAAAATTAAAAAATATTCAACTTTTATTCACTATTAAAGAAATATTGGTAACTGATAACATGTGTTGGGTAGTATAATGTTTTTAAGGGTGTATAATTTGCCAGCCCAATTAGTATGATACACATTGTTTAGAAAATGATACGTTACAAATGGACTTAAATCACTTTCAAGATTGATGAAATAACTTTTTTAATTTTGAAAACGGCACAAGTTTGAAAAAAGTAAAATGGCACAAATTTGCAAAGAATAAAATTCCCCTAAAATAAAAAAGAAATATTACAGTTTTGTGTTATAAAATTAAAAAATATTCAACTTTTATTCACTATTAAAGAAATATTGGTAACTGATAACATGTGTTAGGTAGTATAATGTTTTTAAGAGTGTATAATTTACCAGACCAATTAGTAACATAATAAACATTGTTTAGAAAATGATGCATTACAAATCTTGACCACTTTCAAGATTGATGAAATAACTTTTTTAATTTTAAAAGGCACAAGTCTGAAAAAAATAAAATTCCCCTAAAATAAAAAAAAATATATTACAATTTTATGTTATACAATAAAAAAGTATCCGACTTTTATTCACTATTAAAAAAATGTTATATTCAAATAATATTTCGTAATTTATAATTCATTCTTCCCTAATTTTCATATGTAGGATGAATTTAAAATAATTATGGTGTATATTATAAGTGGTATACAGTACAATAAATCCAGTAGTAAAGTAAATCCATATTTTTGAATAGTGCATCCTCATTCGACAATGTTTTATAGAATATTTTATATGGTTCATTTCTCAAAAATCGCGTCCAACATATTTCTAACCAATTTAACCCTTTCTCCATTAGTACTTTCTAAACATTCTAAATGTCCTCTAGAGCTTCAGTCGAAGTGAATTATTATTATTTGAAAAAGTCACTGTCTGAGCCAATCGAACACTACCACCTTATAATAATAAAAACTACACCTCTCATCTCACAAAATTTTATCGCATGATATATTTTGTATCAGTTTGAGGACTCTTTCAATCAAAATGAACATTTTTATCCTTCCATTAACCTAATTTTCTCTGTACAAAATCTTACAATTAGTGATTACAAAACTGGTTATAATTTGTTCAGAAATGAAAAGGTGAATGCCTCGAACAACTAGCTCGATTTTTTTTTTTTTCTGAAAAATGGACTTGGACCACTTTCAAAACAAACGGCCCAATTGTAACATGGCCTATAGTCTGTGCAACGAGACCTAATCTAAACAAGTGGACGCGATCGATACGTGTCTAAAACAGGGGTCGATTCACGAGTCCTGGAGCCCTGGTGAATTGAGAGTCCTGTCGTGGGAACATGGCCCACTGTAGCGAGTATAGTATTGGAATAATGGTACCAGTTCGTCTCTGAGGATCGACAGCCAATAACCGCAGTTGTTACAATCGAGCACGTGAACGTTTCCTCCTTCGACAAATTGTAGCTTCAACTCTGTTCAACCCTTTGACCGTTTAGGGTTGTTCACAGACGATCTTTAGAATCAATAACAAAATACAGTCGATGGTAAATAATTTCGTTTGTTGTTTCGATTAATTGTTGATTAATTTACACGCGAGCCTCAGATAAACATACTTTTCTTTTCTTACCAATCCTTTTTTTTCCTACGATGCGACATCCCAACCTAAAAAGAAGCAGATTCTCTTTGCTACACACACTTGCCACGTGTTTAGGATTAATTACGATATGAAAAGACTCCAAGAATTGAAAAAGAAAAATAAAGAAAGAAATACACAAGGGTAGAATAAAAAAAGATTCTAAAGAAAGATAGTCTATTTTTCAAGTTAGCTTGAATTTCAAATCTGAAGGGAAACTCGAGTTTCCTTGCTGAAACTCTTAGAATTATCTCCGACAAATTAATTAATATTGAGCAGATTATTCATATAATGATTATGATTCATATATAATGAAATTATGATTGATCAATAAAAATAGAATATTGGTTTGGATAAAGTTTTACTAAAGATTTGCGATTGATTTAGAAATTCAAAGAGGATGGAAAATTACAATAACTGAATAAACATAAATTTGTTACACACTTGTCATTCGGTATTAAATTTTAATTAGTTAGAACACTTAAAAAACACCCTTTGAACGTTAAAGGGTTGATGAATTAATTACTCGGCAGTTTTTCACTCTTGTAAATATTTTAGAATGATTGAAGTAAAGTGAAAATACCATTGGGCAGGGGAATTTCAACTGAATAGCTAGATGATATTGCAAAATGAAATAATGTGTTCTCGTTGCACTTTCTGCCGCGATATGAATATTTTATAAAAATTAAACATTATACGTTGTATAATGTACAATAAATATGCACAATGTATAATATCAGTACATAATATGATATATTTATTCAAGTAATCTAATCAGTAATCTGATCTACGAAAAATATTGTCAACCGTGTCATTTGAAATTGAAATTTAGTCGTGGAGGAATATGAAATAGTACATTTTATAACGAAAACAAAATAAATCTGTTTCAAAATTACGAAAATTGAAGATCATTGGTTATATGATACAGTATACAATAAATATAATATTAATTAATATTATATTTATATTAATATTAATTAATATTTAATATTATATTAATTAATATTATATTTGATAATTAATTGTATAATATATAATAAATATAATATTAATTAATATATTGATTATATGATACAGTATACAATTTACAAATACTTTTGTATACAATATACAGTATACAAATATAATTTTAATTAATATTTAATATTATATTAATTAATATTAATTAATAAATATAATATTAATTAATATTATATTTAATAATTAATTGTATAATATACAATAAATATAATATTAATTAATATATTGGTTATATGATACAGTATACAATAAATATAATATTAATTAATATATTGATTATATGATACAGTATACAATAAATATAATATTAATTAACATATTGGTTATATAATACAGTATACAATAAATATAATATTAATTAATATATTGGTTATATGATACAGTATACAATAAATAATAATATTAATATTGGTTATATGATACAGTATACAATAAATAATAATATTAATATTAATTAATATTAATTAATAATATCAATTAATATATTGGAATACAGTGTGCACATTTATCAAATGATTCAGTCAATAATTCAATCGATCATTTCGCTGAAGTTTCGATTTGCAATAAATATCGTCAGTTTCGTCTACTTAATAATAAAATAATAAAATTGGGGAAAACTATAAAAAAAACGAGATAGCATATGTAATGTCGAATAAAATGAAACTGGTTTCAAAGTTACAAAACATCCAAAAGTCCAACGACCATAGTAGACGTAGCACCTGTACGATCAGAACACCTTGACGTCTCGCATCCCTCGATCTGCCGTCTAGCTTTTAAGCATAATTCTCGGAAATGGAAACGAATTCACTCGCTGAAAATATCGTTCTCTCTCGTTTCCCAACGGAAGAAAAATCCGGCCGAGAGATAGCTTTCGGGATTTTGCGCGAAAAAATTCCACGACGGCGAAAACCTCGCCCTCCTCCCTTCCTGTCCTCCAGAGGATTCATTACTCACGGTTCACGCTCGATGGAGCATCGTTTCTGCGAGCTATCGCCACGCGCACAGTGACTCTCCCGTTAATACTTGGACGCTAGATATCGAGGCTGTTATCATTTCGCTTTCGTTTGCAACCTCTTTCAACGTCGAGAATCTTTTTCCTCCCAAAATTCCAACATTTTTCTCAGTTTTAAGTATAATCAAGTATAACGAAATAAATAGTAAACTATATAGTAAATAGACAGGCGAGACACAAATAATAAATTCATTGCTTCTCGATCATTTCTATCCAGTGATATCGTGCCGACGAGTTTATAATAGAAAAAGAGAGCGACGAGGAGTTATCGTGTACGGTTTTCGGTCACTCGTTATGGTCCGCAATCAGTTGGCTCAGCGCCAAGCGGCTTCCGGAAACGAAAGAAAAGAAAAACTTGACGTGCGATTTCTTTCCCCGCGCCATTTTGTCCAACACTGAGTGTTTAGCCTTAGTCTCGGGATTAAGGTTTTTCTTTTTTCTTGCAAGTGCTTAAGAGATATTCGAACATTAAGATTAATATTAATTTCCGTATAAATCGTCATTTGAATTATAACGACGTTGCCACGTGGAATATATGAAATATTTCGACACGGTTCTAAACTATTCAGTTTTAATTATCGTTTAAATTGTAATTTAACGATTTATATATGGCTGGTAGACATTTTCGTTTCATTTATTTACGTGATTTACGTATTATTCTTGTTATCCAAGCAGAGTCGAGCGACGCCTCGTAAAAGTGTTGACGCAAGAGTCACTGTATGGTAACGATAAGCGAGCGGTGTAACAAAAGCGCGACGAGTGTTTATGCAATTGTTTATGCGAAGGTCGCTACGTTATGCGAGGCCGGCGAGGTGTATTTGGCGCAGCATATGGGCGAACAGGGACGTTGGGTCTCCTCGGCTGACAAGAAGAGCTGCATGACGGACAAGCTCGAGATCCTCGAATACTGCAAGAAGGTGAGTGGTCACTCTTTAGTACACTAAATAGCAACCTATGTATATAATAAATAATAATGACTTACGAGAATACAATAAATAGCAAACTATATATAATAAATAATAACGAATTATAAGAACAGCAAACTATATATAATAAATAATAGTGAATTATAAGAATACAATGAATAGTAAAATATATAATAAATGATAATAAATTACAAGAATATAATAAATAGTAAACTATATAATAAATAATGATAAATTACAAGAATACAAGAAATAGTAAAATATATAATAAATGATAATAAATTATAAGAATACAATAAATAGTAAAATATATAATGAATGATAATAAATTACAAGAATATAATAAATAGTAAACTATATAATAAATAATGATAAATTACATAATAAGTAGTAAACTATATAATGAATAATGATAAATTACAAGAACATAATAAATAGAAAACTATATAATAAATGATAGTAAATTACAAGACTACAATGAATAGTAAACTATATAATAAATGATAAATAATAAATTACAAAATAATAAATAATAAATTATAAGAATACAATGAATATAATAAATAATAGTAAATTATTTAATAAATAACAAACTATATATAGTAAATAATAATTAATTATAAGACTACAATAAATAGTAAAATATATAATAAATGATAGTAAATTACAGGAATACATGATTGAATAGTAAACTATATAATAAATGATAGTACATTACAAGAATATAATGAATAGTAAACTATATAATAAATGATAATAAATTAGAAGAATACAATGAATAGTAAACTATATATAATAAATAATAATGAATTACAAGAATATAATAAATAGTAAACTATGTAATAATATAATACATAACTATATAAACTATATAATACAGTAAATAGCAAACAGTAACTAGTAAATAGTAAACAGTAAACTATATAAGTAAATAAATAAAAATTAATAAGTAACAAATAAATAGGTAAAATTATAGTAAATTAAATATCCTGTACTATTTTCAGCGAACATGAATGTTGGTCAGATAATTTCAGATTTAAATATAATAGTTCAGATGATTTAATTATCTAGAAAAGGTTCCAACATTTGATACATTTAAGTGATCGAAGTAATTCGAATATTCTCCGATAATATCAGAAGATTGTCGAAGAACGTCAATTATTATCAAATAGGAATGAATTTTTATTCATTAATTAAATTTAATTCGTAGTCTAATTATTCGAAAAGGCTTCTAAAAGTTTGTTTCTCGATTGAGACCTCCTCCAAAATGATGTTTGTTTACAATTATATATAAATACTACTATAACATTATAAATATACAATTATATATATATAAATTTATTATATGTAACAAATACATAGTAAATAAATTTATAATAAATAAATTATATATAATATATAAATTTATTATATATAACAAATACATAATAAATAAATTTATAATAAATAATAATCTATATATAACATATAAATTTATTATATGTAACAAATACATAGTAAATAAATTTATAATAAATATTAATCTATATATAATATATAAATTTATTATATATAACAAATACATAATAAATAAATTTGTAATCCATATATAATATATAAATTTATTATGTATAATAAACACATAATAAATAAATTTAAAATAAATATTAATCTATATATAACATATAAATTTATTATATGTTATAATATATAATAAATATATAATATAATATATAATAAATACATAACAAATAAATTTATAATAAATATTAATCTATATATAAATTTATTATATGTTATAATATATAATAAATACATAAATAAATAAACATATATGAATAAATAAATTTACAAATATTTTCCCAAATAATAACTTTTCAATCATCTCCTACACATCTATTTCTTTTTTTTCCTTTTTCTGCAATAATTCTTCTTCGTCTCTTTTCCTCTTCCGCGTGAAAACACATCGACAGCGTTTCACTTTATAACACTGGCAGGGCTCTCGGTCAAATTCTGATTGAAATTGTTTCCGCGGTTTCCGCGAAAATAGGTCATCAATTTCGAAACTTTAACCATGAGGATAGAACTCGATTGTGGGATTTGCGAAAATTAATAGAACAGTTTGATGCGCGTATATCGCGTGCCTGTTTTTCAAGTAGTTCCCGGTAGGTACACGGTAATTGGAATTATCGTTTAAATTGCGATGAAACACGTTCATCAAACGGGAGGTTCGGCTCTGGTCGAATTCGTTCGTGTGCGTGGGGGATGTTTCCAAGCTGCCCCACGAACGAGAACCAAACTATTTTCATACACGAGGGAACAAGTTCGAGTATTTCACTCGTTTTGCAATCCGGGGGCAAAAACTTTTCTCAGTGAGATAGTTGAGAACCTTTCGCCGTGCAATTCTGTTTGAACGAGATTTTCCATTTATTCCTAAAAATTAGCCGAGTGTTTCATTAATATAATGTTTGTTACATCACTGCGGTCATTATGTTGATTTGTTATTTGAAATTTTAAATGTAATATTATTTTCGTGCATAAAATTATATATATTTAATATATTATAAATAATATAATATATATTTAATATATTATAAATAATATTTTATATATATTTAATATATTATGTAATATTATTTGCATGCATAATGTTATATATATTTAATATATTATGTAATATTATTTGCGTGCATAATATTATATATATTTAATATATTATGTAATATTATTTGCGTGCATAATATTATATATATTTAATATAATATGTAATATTATTTGCGTGCATAATATTATATATATTTAATATATTATGTAATATTATTTGCGTGTATAATATTATATATATTTAATATATTATATATTATATTACATATATTATGTGTGTATATATATTAATATTGTTACATATATTATAATATATATTTAACATATTATATATTATACTACACATACTATGTGTGTAAATATATTAATATTGTAGTATATTAATATAATATAATATTATATATATATTAATAGATATTTATATTATATATTAATATATATTTAAATAAATTTAATATAATATAAATATAAATATATATTATAAATATAATATTTAATATTATGCATATTTGTTTAATAATATATATATTTATTTATTTTATTATGTACTGTATATAACCTATATAATTAGTACGTATATATTATGATATATTATATACATTAAACAAAATTACAAAATATTTCTTGGACACTCCTCCCTCTGAAAATATTTAAAAATAAATAATACACGATCTGGCACGAAATTTGTAATTGTATCATGCACATTAATTACTCGCGAATTCAACAGTCAATGATCCAGCACAAAATAAAATTTTCATCTGCGTTATTACTCTTCCCTAAAAATATGTGCAATCGCTTTACATTCAATAAAAATCCATAATTCCCGTGAAACGCAGATGAAAAATATTTCCGCGTCGCTAATTACCGAAAACCCCTCTGGCGAGATTCTCCTCCGAACTGGCAAACGCGGGAAATTAGATTCAGCCCGGCTGATTTATTCAGGCTACTCGCGCGTTTGTAACCCCCATCAGCGTGTTTCAATCTGCGACGAGTTTATTTCGCGTGTGTGACAGGTCGTTAATTCGCCGACGTTTCAATATCCGCGAGGCGCGGCCATCTTTCGCCATAGCGTTCGCCGATGTAATTTTCGAATCGATCGGATGCGAACGAAATGAAACGTGCAGATGCTCGCGCTAATTACCCGGGTAGCCAAATTCAGCGATCGAAGATTCGAGTAAACGATTCGTGTAAACGTAGTTGAAAGAGCTGGGATCCATTTGGTTCAGAATCAGACCACTAATATACGATTTCCATGTTTGAAAACTTTTTTTTTTTTTTCTTTTGGCGTTGGACGTGTTCTGGAATTCATAGTGGAGAGCATAATTTAGGTAAGGGGTGACAGTGAAAAATTGTCGATGTGTATTATCGTATTTTAATTCTATATTTGATTAATAATATAATTTATATATATATATATATATGAAAATTGTAATATAATTTATATTATATATAATATAATTTAAATGTATAAAATTATATATAATGTAAGTTATATCAGATATTAAATATTATAATACTATATATATATATATATATATATATATATATATATATATATATATATATATATATATATATATATATATAACTAATATATATGTGAGTAAATTGCAAAATATTATAGTATTATATAATATTAAAATATTAAATATTGTTATATATATACATAACTGAAATATATGTAAGTAAATTGCAAAATATTATAATATTATATAATATTAAAATATTATATTTATAATATATATTAATATAATATATTAAAATATTATAATATATTATAAAATTATATAATACTATGATATTAAAATATTAAAATATTTATAATATATACTAATATAATATATTAATATAATATATTGTAATATATTACAATATTATATAATATTAAAATATTTTGCAATTTATGTACATAATATTCGACTCAGAGGACTATAATCGCGAGTAGTAAAAAATATTATAATATTATATAGTATTAAAATATTAATTATTATATATATATATAACTGAAATATATGTAAGTAAACTGCAAAATATTATAATATTATATAATATTAAAATATTATATTTATAATATATATTAATATATATATATTATAATATATTATAATATTATATAATATTAAAATATTTTGCAATTTATGTACATAATATTTCAGTTTCGACTCAGAGGACTATAATCGCGAGTAGTAGAAAATATTATAATATTATATATTATTAAAATATTAATTATTATATATATATATAACTGAAATATATGTAAGTAAATTGCAAAATATTATAATATTATATAATATTAAAGTATTATTATATTTATAATTTATATTATTTATATTTATAGTAATCTATTATATTAATATAATAGATTATAAAGTATATTATAATATTAAAATATTTATAATACATATTAATATAATAGATTATATATATTTTATAATCTATTATATTAATATATAACAGATTATAAAAGATAACAGATTGTAATAGTATATATATTTATGAAAAATAATAGATTATAATAGTTTTTATAAAAAATAATAGATTATAATAGTTTTTATAAAAAATAATAGATTATAATAGTATATATATTCTATAGTCTATTATATTAATATAATAGATTATAAAGTATATTATAATATTAAAATATTAAAATATTTATAATACATATTAATATAATATATTACAATATTATATAATATTAAAATACTTTGCAATTTATGTACATAATATATCAGTTCTCCATAATATATCAATCTCGGGGGATTATAATCGCGACTAGTAAAAACTCTCGTTAGAATGAGATTTCAAAATGCAACGAGTTCGAATACCTTCGTGAACAGTAAATATTCCACGACTCTCCTCATGTGGATTTCAGATTCGTTCGAGACTCGAGCATTATGACCACGATGGCAATACAATCTCGTTACGGTGTTAATGAAATTTTCGAAAACCTTTTTTGCACGACATTCCGCGCGCATTGAATAAAAGTTTTTGTGTGTCAAGCGTTTGAATAGACTTCTGCGAGCACAGTTATACAAGGTACACATACGTTTGTACATAAATCTGTGCAACAACACGCAACAAGGTACATAAAAGTTGTCCACGTCGAACGTACAAATACTTTCATGAACCATTGTAGGTCACTTACGAAGCTTTTGCTGGGAACTTTTTAATAAAAATACGAGATTCAAAGGGAACAATGCCTTGGCCTCCGATATCATTTCCAATTTCACGCCATTGAACTTTTCCAGGTGGATAACTTTACAAAAGGAGAGATGTGTCTGTACCAAGTATCAGATTGGCTCGTTGAGACTCAAACGAAATTAAAATGAGCCACGCTGAACAGTGGATTTACTTTTATTTTATTTTATTTTTTTTTTTATTGGCTGTAAACGTTCCGCACGAAACTGGGAACTGTGTTATTTTTTTTATAACTTTATAATAATAATTTTTATAAATTTTATAAATAATAATTTTTATAATGTGTATTTTTCTTATATAATTTTATAATAATAATTTTTACAAATTTTATAAATAATGATTTTTATAATGTATATTTTTCTTATATAATTTTATAATAATAATTTTTACAAATTTTATAAATAATGATTTTTACAATGTATATTTTTCTTACATAATTTTATAATAATAATTTTTACAAATTTTATAAATAATATATAATAATTTTTATAATGTATATTTTTCTTATATAATTTTATTAATTTTTTTATAATGATGTTACTTTCGTTTTCAAGCGAAATATCTAACAACGATATAGTCCTGATCTTAAAATTGATGATAATTCTAAAATCAAATTTCGTGTAAATTCATACATTAATTAAACTGAATAGAAATTTTATACAGGACACACTATATCTACATATCGCAATATGCTCGTTAACAATAAATATATTTTTAATTATTACTACTGTACTAATATATTGATATAGGTACAAATTAATATTTGATAAACATATTATACACAATAATTGACATAATATTACATTTTATTCACTATCTATGTATAGTAATATACAGCAGCATTATATATTAATGGAAGTAATGTTTAATACAATTTTTAAAAAATGAATAAAATTATTTGTCACCCGCACATAAACGTTTATTAATATGTGAAATAATTATCGCTATTATAGTTATTAGAGCATTTATGTACAGACATAATGTCTATTGTAAATTTCATTTTTAAAAAGAAATGAAACTTACGTTCGCGAAAATACAATTGTTAGAGAATAGGGTGGATTAGATAAAAATGACATTTGATAATGACGATATTCGTGTATTTGTGTTTGCAGGCTTATCCGAAAAGAGACATAACCAACATCGTCGAGTCGTCGCACTACGTGAGGGTCAGCGGATGGTGCAAGCCAGGAAGAACTAAATGCAAATTGTCACGTTGGGTCAAGCCTTACAGATGTCTCGGTACGTATTAGCATCGGAATTGTTTTCTGATAAGTAATTCGGATGGACAGCTTTCATTTAGCACTGCTATCAGCTTGCTTCACTTTAATCGAGTCAAACGAGTGGCTCGCGAACAGAATGAAATGAAATTTCCTTGTAAAAAAAAAAGTGGAATTCGAACGTGTGCGGATGCACACTTTCATTTACAATTATGGATTTCTTGCCAGCACACTTTAGATGTATATTGTTTCTTTTATTTTGATATAATACGTGCAATATTATAATATGATATGATACAATATATAATGATATAATATTTCAATATAATAATATAATATGGTATAGTAACATTTTCTGCATGAAATGTTATTTTGTTTCATTTTATGATACAATATTAAGTCACAGAAGCATTCATCTACACATCTGCAATTATCAAGTTTAATGATTTCTTAAAATTTCCATTTAATGGTAATAATGAATCACAATAAATTGGATATTATAATAAATTGTAAATTATAATGTAAATTAAAATAATATAATATTATATTATTATATATTATATATTATTATATTAATTATATTATATATTATATTATATTATATAAATAACATAGTATTATTATATTACAAGGTAGTATTGCAATAAATTAAATGGTAAAAATGATAATCAGAGGCTTAATTTTCATAAATTCATACTCTTGCAACTTTAACAAGGAAACCAAATTTTATTTATTGAGTATTCTAACTCAATCATATTCTGAATATTTCGCACACTTTTCTTTATTCCAACATTCCTGTATTTCACATCAATGGCACTTTGACGAGTTAAAGTGAAAGCGTGAAATTAGTATGTCTGGCTAATTTTAACGGGAAAAGTGTAGACTGACTGGATTAGTAAGCACGTAGTGAGTGTTTAATAGCAGATATACAAATCTAACAATATCATAATATTGCATTGTATTAATGTATCGCATATATTCACAAACATTATTATTATTATTTTACTAACGTGCATATTTATTTTACAATTTATTACACAATTATTCTCCGTCCCTTCTTTATTGTTATTCTCATAATACATGATGTAATTTAAAGCAATTGTAGCAAGCGGTGAAAGTGTTTGAACATTTAAATACATATTTGCATCTTTTTATGAATTTATTGCGCATTACATAGCATCAGAGATGGTGCTGAAAATGCACTGTAGTCATTAATAAAACTAATTGATAAAATTTCAAATAATGACAGTATGGCAGTGGTTCCCAATCTTCTTTTTGGACATATAATTCTTATTATTCAAAAAGTATTTTTCAAACAGTAAAAGGCCATTAACTTGGTCTAAACAAGCCTTTAGTTTCTTAAAATCCACAAGAGAGAGAAAATTGACAAGTTGAATTTTCATTGAAAAAGACTGCAAAAGTCCCACGTTGGGAACCACGGCAATATAGTCATTAATAAAATTAATACAATTTCAAAATACTCTATATACAATATAATATGATATACAACATAATATATCTATTTACTAATACGACATAATATATCTATTTACAATATACAATTTCAAAATACTCTATATTCAATATAATATATATCTATATACAATACAATTTCAAAATACTCTATATACAATATAATATGATATATACTAATACGACATAACATATCTATTTACAATATACAATTTCAAAATACTCTATATACAATATACAATTTCAAAATACTCTATATACAATATACAATTTCAAAATACTCTATATACAATATACAATTTCAAAATACTCTATATACAATATAATATGATATATACTAATACGACATAATATATCTATATACAATACAATATGATATATACTAATACAACGTAATCTATATACAATATAATATTGACATCTATAGGGTGGGATAAATATAGAGTGGGATCTTTTCAAGAGAAGTATTACCTACACGCGCCGCATAGAAATATTATAGTTCATTTATTAATAACATTATAGTTCATCTATTAATAAAACGGAGAGAACAAAGGGAAGGAGAAGCGAGGATAATAATTGAAAAAGAATGCTCGTTTACTTGAGCATTCGAAAACTTTCGTCTTTTCGTTTCTTCTTTTTACCCTTTAGACTTTCAAAAATTACAAAACTTTCTCTCCATCGTTCACTATTATTATTACGTACATATGCAATACTTTCATCAACCATGTATAATTATATTGTTATTTCATATACGTATAACCATACCATTTTACTAACATTTAATTCGTGATTCTACAATTATTCTCAAACCACTCCATCGCCCAATCATCCAATTATCATCAAACATTCGAGACGTTTATTACAAACGCCCTCTTGAAATTGTTCTCTATAATAATTGACGAATGAGTGACGCGCACTATAGTGCTGTTCATTGGCGTAGAACGTGAAAAGTTGGACGAAAGCCATCGGACAACGAGTGGATACCTGTCCGGGCAGACTGAAACCGAGTCCCATGAAATTTAATATCGACTCTCTGTCAATGTTCAGGCGGAGATAAAATATATCATACTTAACGAGGGAATAAAGAAAAAAAAAAAAAAAAAAAAAAAAAAAAAAAAAAAAAGAAGAATCCATCCGTGGTCCCAATTACGTGGAGCATAAGTATTGTTTCTTGTTTGAAGAAGTGTGAGAGCGTTTGAACGATGCTCGACGAGATCCTGGTCGATTAAACGACGTCGAGGAAATATTGCTGTATTAACAATTATGAGCGTTGTTAGGATAGAAGACTCGAACGATCCGAGGAAACCGATGGAGGAGATTTGAATGTCGAAGGCGAATACATTATCGTCAAATTGCGATGGAAAGGGGCTTTGAAAGGGGCAGGGTATAATAAATATGGATGTGGTGGTGTCTTGCCTCAATGATTATCGTTTCGTAAATTTTTCGTTTCGTTTATTTCCGATTTTACTCGCTCGTTACCTGAAATTTTGCTTTATTATTTACTTTTATTAGCGATGTACTGATCTTATTGTTAGTATAGTGATGCATCTTGAGTATTGTTATTATAGTGATGCACGTTGTGTATTTTATTATTATTTTTATTATTATTATATTTTTATATTATTATTGATTGTTATTTTACATCTCGCCGTAGTGAGTTCTTGTTTTTGTTTATTTTGTTACCTTATTTATATTTTATTGTCTACTTATATTTACTATTTTATATTTTATGATCTACTTATATTTATTATTTTATATTTTATTATCTTTGTATTATTTTCTTCTTTTATCTTTATATTAGTTACTGTGCCATTTTCATTTATTTATTTTTTTATTACATCTTGCCATGGTGAATCCTTGTTCTTGTTTATTTTGTTGCCTTATTTATAATTACTATTTTATATTTTACGATCTACTTATATTTATTATTTTATATTTTATTGTCTTTGTACTTTGATCTTTATATTAATTACTATTAATTACTGTGCCATTTTCATTTATTTACTTTTTTTATTACATCTTGCCATAGTGAATCTTTGTTTTTGTTTATTTTGTAACCTTATTTATATTTTATTATCTATATTCACTATTTTATATTTTATGATCTACTTATATTTATTATTTTATATTTTATTATCTTCGTACTTTGATCTTTATATTAATTACTATTAATTACTGTGCCATTTTCATTTATTTATTTTTTTATTACATCTTGCCATAGTGAATACTTTGTTTATTTTGTTACCTTATTTATATTTTCTGTATTCTCTATATTCACTATTTTATATTTTATATTTTATATTCACTTATACTTATATTCTATTTTATATTTTATGATCTACTTATATTTATTATTTTATATTTTATTATCTTCGTACTTTTATCTTTATATTAATTACTATTAATTACTGTGTCATTTTTATTTATTTATGTTATATTTTATTTGTATTGGATTGGTTGTACTTTTATCTTTGTTGCATTGTACTATATCTATTTATTTCAAGTTTTTTACTATCTTAATCTAACGATTGCTATAATTATAATTTGCAGTCTGCAAGCTTTTACCTTTACTCGTTGCAAACTATTCATCTCAGAATTTATTATTCAACTGTGAATTATTCAACTTTCTATTTTTCTTATTCAAATTTCTATTCCCTCCTTGTTTTAAATTTTATTATCCTCTCAATATTATTATATCATTCATTTCTATCTTTCACTTTGACACATTTCACATAAGCGTCTCATAATTTCGAAGAAATATTTTTTTATATAAAAGCATAACAGTGAAGACTTCACTAAACTAAAGCAAGAAAAACTTCACTAAACTGAAGCAAGAAAAAAAAAAAAAAGGAACAGAGACAAAAAGAATAGAAATTGAAGAGACATAAATTACTCGTCGAGCAAAGAAAAGAGATTCCTACTGATACTGAAATTTTCCTTGGGCAAGGCAATAAATTCAAACGTTCAATAAATTCAACTTTACACTGTATATGTATATATATATATATATATATATGTGTGTGTACATACGTGTTATAAACGCGTGAAACTTTTACGTTCTGCCATTCATTGTTCCAATTAACAAGGATATTTGAACCATTTAGCGTACGACACGGTAAATATAGCAGTTCGCTTTACGAGTTAACGCGTTGAAATAGCGATAAAATATTCAAGCCTAGCGTTGAATGATCGTTTCGCAGGTCGCTGTTTGTTTCTTCAGCCAGTTGATGTTGTACTGATAACCAGTTCACAATTAGTTCTCGATACTTTTCCTAAAACAGAGGAGTGGAGGGGATATTTCAAAAATTTCAAAAGTCAATGACTGTAACTCTTAAAGTGTCAGATAGTTTCAAACTACAAATGTAACTTGAGACAGAAACAATGTAACGAAATATCCTTCTTTTTCTTTTTTCTAAAAGTTTTCTTTTTCTAAAAAAGTTTTAATGTTACTATCACTAAAGAAAAGATGTTACTATCACTTGCTATTTTTATTGCCAGTTTTTAATCACAAGTTCACATCTATATTTATATTGTTATTTCGTGTTTATGGAGTTAACATGTTTCTATATTTATATATTGTTAATTATTTATTAACAATATTTTTATACTGTTATTTCGATGTTTCTATATTTATATATTGTTGTATATTTATTAACAATATTTTTATATTGTTATTTCGATATCTTTCTCTGCAACAATTGTTTGATGAAGAATTTTTGTCGAGCTACGTTTTATGTTAGTTGGCGATTCGTGCTTCTCGTTCTCGTTTTCTCATTAATTGAGAATTCGTATAACTTGTGATGTTCATGTGATCATTGGCACAGATTTTTTTAACCAAGAAGCTGTGAGATTATGTTTGCACGAGCTGTATTTTTGTTATAACTTTTTAATCGAGAATTTATGGAACTATTATATATTACTGTAACAAACATTCCATTGTTTATCATTCTATTATTTGTCACTCGTTTATTCATTTTATACATTCTATTATTTATTGATGCTTATTATTACTTTTTCTTTATACATTTTATTACTTATTATTACACAATCCACACATTTATTCATTTTATTATTTTATTTTAATTTCATTAGTTTACTTTTACTCGTGGAACACGCCGATACTGTTTTACAAAAGAAAATCCAGAATGTTATCTTGCTGGATCTCTGTCTGATCGAAAATTTCGTACTTTCTTATGAACTAGCATTAAAGCGGGGCCGATATGTCCAGCTGATCGTATTTATTAGCGAAAATATACGTTCGGTTGACGTGAGAAGAGCGCGTTAGAAACGTGTATTCTCCGTAATCTATAGAGTATAATAAACGCGGGCAGAGATTGAACATATGCTCATACATATTTAAATTGAAATTCGCAAATTTCACACGAGATGCATGTATATATAATTCGACAAAAAAAAAAAAAAAAAAAAAAAAAAAAAAACACAGAAAAAGAAAAAGGAATATGTATTGTTTTTGTCGATGTTGAAAAGGTGAAAACTACCCTCAAAGTTGGGGGTGCGGAACATGTTCAGTCAAATATCTCTGAAATTATCGAAGATATCGTATTTTTGTGTAAATCGACGAAATTAATGTTTTTTGATGATAAATTTGATGGTATATACAATTTTGCAAAAAAAAAATTTTCGTTTAAACAATATATTAAAAAACGGTATTTTTCGCAAGTTTCACCAAGTAAATAAATTTGAATATAATAAATAATAATATAATAATAATATATATGTTATATAATAATAATATAATAATATAATAAATAATAAATTTTTTCGAATATTTGCTTACGAAAATTACACAAATTCAAACGCAAATTATATATAAAATAATTATATATAAAATTGTAATTACAAAATAATTCTTTATAAAGTTATAATTATAAAACAATTGTATATAAAGTTATAATTACAAAACAATTGTATATAAAATTATAATTATAAAACAATTATATATAAAATTACAATTGTAAAACAATTACATATAAAGTTATAATTGTAAAACAATTATATATAAAGTTATTTGTAAAACAATTACATATAAAGTTATAATTATAAAATAATTGTATATAAAGTTATAATTATGAAACAATTGTATATAAAGTTATAATTGTAAAACAATTATATATAAAATTACAATTGTAAAACAATTACATATAAAATCATAATTGTAAAATAATTGTATATAAAGTTACAATTATAAAATAATTATATAAAATTAATTATAATTATAACATAATTATATATAAAATTATAATTATGAAACAATTGTATATAAAGTTATAATTATAAAACAATTGTATATAAAGTTATAATTGTAAAACAATTGTATATAAAATTATAATTATAAAACAATTGTATGTAAAATTATAATTATAAAACAATTGTATGTAAAATTATAATTATAAAATAATTGTATATAAAATTACAATTATAAAATAATTGTTTATAAAATTAATTATAATCATAAAATAATTATAATTAAAATTATAATTATAAAACAATTGTATATAAAGTTATAATTATAAAACAATTGTATATAAAGTTATAATTGTAAAACAATTGTATATAAAATTATAATTATAAAACAATTGTATGTAAAATTATAATTATAAAACAATTGTATGTAAAATTATAATTATAAAATAATTGTATATAAAATTACAATTATAAAATAATTGTTTATAAAATTAATTATAATCATAAAATAATTATAATTAAAATTATAATTATAAAACAATTGTATATAAAGTTATAATTATAAAACAATTGTATATAAAGTTATAATTGTAAAACAATTGTATATAAAATTATAATTGTAAAACAATTATATATAAAATTATAATTTTAAAACAATTGTATATAAAGTTATAATTGTAAAACAATTATACATAAAATTATAATTATAAAACAATTACATATAGAATTATAATTACAAAACAATTACACATAAAATGGAAATCTCGATTCTTACACTATAAAAAGAAAATCCATTGTTCCCGGATGTTGCGAGCCCAGTGTGCACATTTCTCACACGTTTCTACGACAGTGTCTCGCACCATCTGAAACGACACGCTACGTTGCAGAAAAATTACAATACACTAAAATTCGTTTAACGAATGTCTCACACACAACCCTAACTCTTCGATACCCTGCATATGCACAGATTTCTACCCCGTCTCTCTTTCGCCGATCAATATAGACCTATGTTTCAGCGACACGACCTTTTACCCTTTCGTTCGCATCGATACCTAATCATTTTTTTTTTTTTTCTCGTTCCAGAGGGACCGTTCCAGAGTGACGCGTTGCTCGTGCCGGAAGGCTGCCTGTTCGATCACCTTCACAATCAGACGAAATGCTGGGAATCGCACAGGTAAGCGCTCACATACATACATACATACATACATACATACATACGTGTCTCGTCGAAGACGAGAGCCAGTTATTGATTTACCGGTGGCGTTGGCCACCGCGTAACGCTATCCTCCGCGACGTCGACCCCTCGTCGAGAATGTGGAGGGTTCGATAGAGTTTGCCAGAGGCCCTTTGAATCGTGCAAACCCGAGCAAGTCTCGCGTTGGCTGACCCAGGACGGAGTTTTCGTCACGGGGGGGGGGGGGGGGGTGGCTTTCGCTCCTCAACGCGTTTGATTATATATTGTGTTGAACCTTGGTAACTCGAGTCCCCCATGGTTACTTACGTGGGGGAGGTTTTGAAACTTGGGAGCACCCGCTCTAACTTGGAAGGCACGGAACTTTCGTTTACCCGAAACGTTTGTCGCGTGTCTCGGCGTACGTTTATATACGCGTCACGTTGAATTTAGGGGAAGTTCGATCCCTGCTGAAGTTGTATATTAGCTGACATTCTGTGCAGTTGTTTGGGGAAAATGTTTGAACGCATTGAACTTCTTGTGAATAATAATAGAAATGTGTAATATATGAATAACAATAATATAATTCGATATAATAATGTTAATACTTTTAGTTTATGTAATTATATAATTTAAAGTTTGTGTAATTATATAATTTAAAGTTTGTGTAATTATATAATTTAAAGTTTATGTAATTATATAATTTAAAGTTTATGTAATTATATAATTTAAAGTTTATATAATTATATAATTTAAAGTTTACATAACTTAATAATGTTAATATATAATAGTAATGACAAATTATTAATGTTATGTACAATAACAATAATAGTAATGTAAAGTTATTTGAAGAAAATGTTTGAACACTTTGAACTTCTTGTGAATAATAATAGCAGTGTGTAATATATAAATAACAATAATATAATTCAATATAATAATGTTAATACTTTTAGTTTATATAATTATACAATTGTATAGTTTATATAATTATACAATTTAAAGTTTATATAATTATATAATTTAAAATTTATGTAATTATATAATTATATAATTTAAAGTTTACATAACTTTATAATGTTAACAAAGTTTACATAACTTAATAATGTTAATATATAATAGTAATGACAAATTATTAATGTTACAGTATGTACAACAACAATAATAGTAATGTACAGTTGTTTGGGGAAAATGTTTGAACACTTTGAGCTTTTTGTGAATAATAATAGCAATGTGTAATATATAAATAACAGTAATATAATTCAATATAATAATGTTAATACTTTTAGTTTATATAATTTAATAATGTTAATATATAATAGTAATGACAAATTATTTATGTCATAGTATGTAGAATAATAATATGTACAATAATAATAGTAATATATAGCGTTTATGTCATGGTATGTTATAGTAATGGTAGTTATCTCGGTATCTTATTAATGAAGTTTGTTGATACAGTTGTGATGATGATGATGTTGGTCAGGTTTCAAATAAATTGCAAAGCATGTGACCGTGGAATCAATTAGCTACAGTTCATTGTGTCGGTATTATGTCATCAATGTAATATCATTCTTGCGAATAGATTATATCAGTATGTAATCACATTTCACTTTGCAAATATTGCAGACACTGCTTATTACTCGAATATGAGATTAATGAGTGCCCCAGAAATTAATTTCCTGAACGCAACGAATAAATATGATTTCTCAAATACATTTCTCATATCTCTCTTAATATCTTACATAGTTCTTATTTTTTAAATATGAAATTAACGAGTGCTGCAGAAATTAATCTTCTGAACACAGTAACAAATAAATAGAATTGCTCATATTTCTTTCAGTTCATCTAGATACTCTTTATTTTTCAAGTATGAAATATATATGGGCATGTATAAATTATATTTATTTAAAAAAAAAAAATTGAATATTAACAAATACGACAAACATTTAATTTCTAAATATATATATTTATTTTTTTTATTCTACGAAAAAAATTATATACATATATATCTTTAGATCATTTATTTATTTTCGAGATAATGAAAATTGTTAAAATAAATTAATTAATTAGCCCTTTAACAAAATAAGTTTTACTTATTTATTTTTCAAGAAATTTATTTTCATCACCTCAAACTATTAATAACATTATTATTATTTTTAATTATTACTAAAATTCATTATTATTTTATTTAATCATATTAATTTAATTTATATTAATTTAAAATTATTCATATATAAATAATTGTCGATAATTCCCACGATTGATCATTATTCTATACACCGAAATAGATACATACTCTAATTATATACGCCTGCTGGAAAACAAATGTAAATATTTCGCACGTGCAAAATAAACACACTCGCGAGTAAGACTAAAAAAAAAAGGAGAAGAAACTTAATGGATACTCCAGAAATTAATCAAACGGTAATTAATAACTAAATAATCTCTCATCATTTCTCTCAGCTCACCTAGATATATCCCCTGCTTTCCGGATATGAAATTAATTTAAATGCTTCCCGAGATTAATCCCCCGGACAAACAAATAAATATAATCACTCGAACATTTCTCACATTTCTCGCTCGGCTCACCTAGATATCCTTTAATCTCCCCCCCCGAATATGAAATTAACGAACGCGCCGAACTTCTGCACAGTAATATCTAGGTATACCGTTGATCGACCTTCTTCAGCCGTTTACTCTGCCTCGGTGCCTCGGGAGAAATGAATTTCCATCCAGGAAGATTGAATCTCCGTTACGAATCCTCGTTACGGTTTCTCTTTGACGCGAATCCCCCAGGTCTGCACGTGAATGTAACGCGAGAGAGAGAGAGAGAGAGAGAGAGAGACGAGAGGAACATAGAAAAGAAACGTAAATCTGAAAAAAAGGAACCTTCGTCTGTCGCAGGTGGAACGCGACTGCAGCGGACACCTGCAGAGAAAGGAACATGAATCTGAGAAGCTTCGCGATGCTGCTGCCGTGTGGAATATCGCTGTTCTCCGGCGTCGAATTCGTATGCTGTCCGAAACACCTCAAAGGTACGTAACGTACGTACATTCTCTCATATCATCATTTTCACGTTCATTCATCCATCAATTTTTCTTCCTTTTCTTCTTCTTCTTCTTCTTCTTCTTCTTCTTCTTTTTTTCTGATTTCTGTATGGAACGGTTGCAACTGTTGCATTTTTTTGCAGCTGTATCATAAATATATATATACAAGGTGTTTCGTGGGAGCTGATTGTACGCCTAGAAAAAATATATTCTTCCTTGTATATTGAATGTAAAGTACAATATATGGATTTTTTGAACTATGAAAGTTTGCAAAAAATTTATGCAGCAACGTACAAGAAAATTAAAAGTATGAAACAAACTTAATTTCCATTTCTTGAATTTTGTTCATCAAAATGTGAAATTGTACGAACAATGTATGT